GACTGTCTTTTGGAAGTTATAGTGGCCAGTTTCAATTCTTTTCGCTAGAAGCATCTGCCGGAAAAACCAGTGCCATTAGCTACAAAAACCCGCGGGGAGCTGTGCAAAAAACGTATCTTCATACTGGCAGTCGGTGAGCCCAGCCAGTTATTTTTCTATTGGACGTACGAAAAAATAAATAACTCTGATTATCTGCCAATTATAATTCAGCATTTCTCATGCAAGGAGCATCAGATGCACATCAGCGAGCCCGAATTTTACAAAGAAGTGGATTCACTGTGTGGCTCATTTACCAAAGAGATTGTTGTGCCAAATCAGCCGTTGCGACGGCGACGAACACCCGAACCACTGCCACTACCCGAAAATGATCTTTTCGAATAGCCCCCAAATGTGCCATATCCAGAAAATCGTCATCCGTTGCTACGAATAAGACTCCAAAGTTGCTTTTCTCTTCCTTTTTTTGAATATTTCTGATTTTACTGGTTGTTTTTGTTCTAATTTTCGTTTTGGCACTGATCCATACTGCCAAAAATCGTCCAATAATTCCACGATTCGTTTGATTGTTGTTTTTTTGGCGTGAAAATCCGCGAAAAACCGGTAAATTTTAGTGAGAAACAACCAAAAACTGCAGATAGCTTGCCGTATTTTTGGATATAAAAGCTGAAATTGCTAAATTTTGGAGCACTAGGACCGGTATTTTAGTGGTGATAGAAAGGTATAATAACAGCGGTTGAAAATAAGAAGAATCAAAAAGAAAGGCGGGAAATGAGAATTACGAAATTACTAAAATTATTATTATGGTAAGAAATGTTTCGGTCCATTAAGTCGTATAAGAAATGTTTCGGTCCATTAATGCATCATGGCTCCTGAGAAGGTTCCTGAGAAGTGAAGGAGTTCTTTTTCATCCCGGTGAATTTATATCCTTTGCAAAAAGGAGCTCCGTTCAAGACATAATGGATTTGAGAGAGAGAATCTGACCCGTTATCTTCACTATCTTTGGGTAGAATTTGCTAGTGAAATGTGATAGGGAAGATAGTTGTCAGTAGCAAACAAACGCTAAAAATTTCATGGATATTAACGTGTTAGCTGTTATACTAGCGGCCCTTGTGCTTTTTATTTAGCTGTTGGAGAATATACTGGTTTTCGTGCCTAGCTGCCAACACAAGCTACGTGCAGTTTTTTTATCATTTTTTGCCGTTTTTTGACGGATTTACACAAGGATTTGGCTGATAATTTACTGAACATTTATAGGGAAGTGCAAATCCATCAGCACGAAATTTAGGAGGGCTTTCTGAGGAGAAAAAGTCGTTGACGACCTTATTTTTTAGGGCTAAGCCAATTGTAGCAACCAGTTTGACCCTGAAAGACCAAATGACGAATGCGCGATATATTACAGCATGAAAGAACAGTATGAGAAAAGAGGATAAGAGAGTGAGATAAGACGTTCCGGCCCGTTAAGCCGTATACGTCTGATTTATGTTCTGCTTGCAAATTAAAGTTACGGTCACTCTCGATCGATCGGGAATGGATGTGCATAAATTAAAAATACTGGGATAGGAAAATTTGGATTGAAAATCTGATGGTTACTGATACTGCCTGTGGAGGTAATCAGGAATGAGAATTAATAGGTGGGAGAAAATTTAACATGAAAAATTCTTGGGTTTTTTGGATTCAGACGGTGAATACAGAGCTATATTACTAGTGCTTTACAGAAGAAGTTAATATTCATAGATGCCGGTGAAATCTGTTTGGAAATTTTTGTTAATTTCTTTTTTTTTGAGGTGCGAATCTATCATGGGAAAGTATGTATTTGCCTTTTTTTTATTGGTTTCGTTCTGTTGAAATAATGCAATTCCATCGTACGTGAACATCAG